TTTTTCAATAGAGATGGGGTTTCACCATGTTGGCTAGGCTGGTCCCGAACTCCTGACCTCAAGTGATCCACCCACCTCGGCCTCCCAAAGTGCTGGGATTACAGGCCTGAGCCACTGCGTCCAGCCTCAATCCTCTTCTTATCTGCTACCCAACAATCCCTCGACTTTCAGCCCCATCAGACACAAGGCTATCTTCCAGAAGCACATGCAGGTGGGCATGAGTGTTACCTTCCCAGGATTCTCAAAGTGAAATCTCCACCTACTTCAACCCGATATTGTTTATGACAAAGAGCCTTCAGTGAGCAGGTCTTTTTGGAGCAGCTCCAACATGCTCATCTTTTTGTGAGGCACTGCCAGAAAAATATCCAGACAAGATCTAGTTTCTGCCTCCAGGAACAGAGGTGGGTGGACAGGGTGGGGAGCAATCACTATGGCCATGAGATTTGCTTAGGGGAAGCTCCATGGAGAAAATGAGACCTCAGGGGCACTTACTAATTGATTGAATTTCCAGTCAGGAAGGTCATTCTGGGTGTGGTAAAACACGACTGTGGCACATTTTTAAAAACATTTGAGAGACTGAGTCTCGCTATATTGCCCAGGCTGGAGTGAAATGGCTATTCACGGGTGCAATCATGGTGTGGGCTTAAGCGAGCCTGTCAACTCAGCGTCTGAAGTAACTGGGACTACAAGTGTGTGCCACCACACCCAGCCTGTGGTATGTTTTGAAGGCCAGTGTGAAGAGAGCCTGTCTGGGCCATGGGCTAGTAGTAGAGTACTGAGAGACAAGATCGGCCAAGGAGAATGGGAGCAGATCACAATGGCCTCAAAACCCTGGTTTCTCAGCAGGAAAGCAATGTAGTAGCATGCGGGAGAACAAACGGAGCAGGGATGAGGGCCTGTCTCTGGATGGAGGCACAGATGGAGAAGAAATGGTGAGCTACTGTGAAGGAAGATTTGATGACTGGCTAGACAATAGGGAACCTTGAACCTCAGCTCCTGAGACAATGAAGATGCTAATGCTGGCAAAGGGGAAATGCAGAGAAAGGCAGGCCTGGTAGAAAGATGGATGGGCTTGATTCACAGGGATGGTGAGATATCCAATAATTATGTCCTCTAAGCAACACACAGTATACCTGCCCACCCAAAAATGACAGTTCAAGCTGTGACACAGGCTACCAGCTAGGAGTAATTTCACAGGCACAGTGTCAGAAGGAAAGAGCATAGTGGTGAAACTGCCACAATCCTGCAATCACCTGTAGAGAGCTGCATGCCAATCTGGATCTTTGCTGAGATTTTCATGCCAATCTGGATCTCGGCAAAGCACTGCCTGTTTTGGTACGGCATCTCACCAGTGCTGCATGGGCCGGGAGTTTTCAGCACCTTGTTATTCCAGGCAATCCATCGTTTCTCTTGCAGCTGAGAATGAAAAGCAAACGAAAGGAATCAGAAAAGCAGTTTAGTTTTTTGTTGTTTTTTTTTTTCAGACAGAGTTTTTGCTCTTGTTGCCCAGGCTGGAGTGCAATGACACAATCTCAGCTCGCTGCAACCTCCGCCTCCCAGGTTCAAGCGATTCTCCTGCCTCAGCCTCACAAGTAGCCAGGATTACAGGCATGTACCACCACACCAAGCTAATTTTTTGTATTGACGGGGTTTCACCATGTTGCTCAGGCTGGTCTTGAACTCCTGACCTCAGGTGATCCACCTGCCTTGGCCTCCCAAAGTGGTAGGATTACAGGCGTGAGCCACTGCACCTGGCCCAGAAAGCAGTTTTAAGCAGACCAGAAAATATGACCTCCAGAATTTTTTACCATCTAATAAAAAGGAAAAGAAACTTTCTCCCCCAGGTTCTTGGCTCAGAGCAAGTTTGAGAAGAAACTTATTCAAAAAGCACACAAATCAAAACATTCCGGGGAGAATAAAAGCCACATTGAAGTCTGGGTAAAGACAACGAAAAGGCAATCAGGACACAAGGGAGACTGCTAGAACACGTGAGTGCAGGACTTGGGCTCTCTTGTCCTTGGGGCAGCTAAGGAGAGAAGAACAAGCCTGCTGAGGTGGGTGGGGCTGAACTGAAAATGCAACTCAGAACACTTCAGGTTCCACCCATCTGATGTGACACCACTGTCATCAAGAAAAGCACCAAAAGCTGGGGAATCTTTAGGAATATATGAGAACTTCCCTCCAGAAAGTCTTGTCACCAGAGACAATAAAGTCTGAAAAATCTAATGACCAATAGGTCTCTCTGCCTCCAGATTTTATCCAATCCAGTCCATACCCACAGGTTACTGTCAGGTTAATTTCTTTCAGCAGGTTAATTTCATTCGCTCCCTGATGCACCCCATCCCTATGCAGTGGTGCCTACTGATGTAAATTTAACCTGCTCAAACCAGATTCCCAAGGCCCTCCAGTATCTGGTCCTAAACTGTCAAAAAATAAGAGCTTACTAAGTCCTAGGCCCTGTTCTAACGCACTGTATGTGTATTAACTTATATAAGTGTAACAATAATCCTATGAGTTAATAAGTATCATGTTGTCCCCATTTTACAGATGAAGAAACTGAGGCCAAGTAACTTGTTCAAGGTCACACAGCTCTTTTCCATTATCCTTCCACATGAATCCTCTCTTCCTGATTGTCAAGCTTCAACTCTCCTTCTCCCCCATCCTGTTGTTCTCACCACTTACCATCCTTTAAGAACCAGAGTCTCACTTCCTCCAGGCAATGTTACTTCCTGGCTGTTGAGGCTGTCAATGATTTCTCCCTCTGCTGATCTCCTGTGGTAACAGCCGTCTGTCCTACACATTATAACTCATACACATTCTCTACTGCTTTTACCTGTACCAGGGCTCGTCTCCCAACCTCAACTGCCTCTGCTCAAGGGTGGGAAGTATACATGGTTAGCACACCTCGCTGCGCCAAGAGTACTGGTGTATAGCAGGTGCTCAATCAGTGCTCGTTCACTGATCCTACCTTTTTATCACAGTCGGTTCTGTTAAACAGGTCGTAGATTCTCTGAAACAGTTCATCCTTATTTCGCTCTAAATTTTTTCCAGAGTATTTCTTTGACTTTCCAAGGCCATGCAGGAAACTTCCATGGACTTTGCACTTACAAGTCCTGCAAAGGTAAATTCAACTGAGATTTATGAAGCTAAATAGAGAGAAGGAATGCACGCATTAAGTGTCTTGTGAAGAGACCCTGAAAACCTGTCGCTCCCTCTTCCACCTAGATCCTTAGATGAGGGCATTTCCCAAGCATCCGTCTGTAGCCTTTTCTCTTCGCTCTCTGCAACCCTCAGAGGTGTGAATGAAGCCCACGGTTTCAACTTCAATGAGACTTATCCCCACATCTGTATCTGTACTCTGGAGCTCTCTCCTGAGACCTAGTTCTGAATTTACCATTGCCCAGTGCAAACTTCCAACTAACAAGAATGTATCTTGTATCTCCAGCTAAAGTGTGTTCAATTATCAAACTTCTGTTACAATTGGCTGAAAAACCTCAAAGGCATTTTAAAATTCCTTTTCTCTCTTTATTTGTGCAATTGGGCACAGAGACAGACTATCTTTCTTCACACTTTCTCTTCCAGCCAGCCCCTCTTTTCCATCCCCCTGGTTCCTACTCTAGTTCAAGTTCTTATCCTACCCTTTATGCCTGGATATGAGAACATTCCAGTGTTCCTTACCCCCAGGCTCTTTCTCCTCTCAATCACACACACCCCTCCCTCCAGATTCATTTTCGCAGGCCATGCTCCAATTAACGTCCCCGTCTGGTTTTTCACTGACTGCTTGGCCTCACATTCATGGTCAAGGTCAACCTGGTCCCAAGCTTTACTCCCAGCTACCACTGCCACTCTAGCCAAAGCGGGCAACTTAAATGTTCCCTGGATACAAATTGTGATTTCCCACATTTGTGCCTTGGCACAATCTATTTTCCCACAGCTAACAATGACCACATGTCCACCTCTACCGAGAATAACAATCTGTGTAGCACTTTAAATGTGCAAAGAACTTCCTTTTGCATTGTCATATTTAATCCTCACAACCGCCCTTCAAAAAAGCTACTACTATTTTTACGCTCTCCACTGTGCTCAGAGGTCAAGAGACTTGCCCAAAGGTCACAGAGACAGTGAATCTCCTGATCCAAATCTCATGGTATTTGGTTAAACCACAATCGCTGCCCCATCTTTCAAGGCCTAATTCAAAGGGCACAAAGAATAATGCTGAGCACATAAAGGACTCATACTATAATAACTATTATTTAAAAAGAAGCATTTTTATCTTAGCTGGAACAGTCCAGTAAGTCCAGAGATGAGCCCAAAGAGCCGGAAAGATAGAACGGGAGCAAACGCAGCAGGTTTCTGACTAAACAGAACTCCTAAAACTGAGATTTTGCCAGAACACTTATTAACCCTTAAGTCACAAACTAAACCCTATGTGAGGAAATTGGGCTGCAGAGCAGTAAGTACCAGACAAGACATAGGTTACGGAAGGGTCTTCATCTCAAGCCTAAAATGGGGGACTTCTGCCTCCAATTACTTAGACCTGAAAGCAAATTTACATCAGTATTTAAGGTGGCAGATGCAAACCTGAACCCTCTGCAGACTTTGGCAGAGCCTGTGACCCATGTGTTTGTGCTCACACAAAGCTGGCCTTTTCGCTTAGCATACTTTTGCCTCAAGGCCTGAGCACCTTCACATCAGAGAAACCAACAAGACCCGAAACTGGGTATATCAGACACCATGACCAGCAAGCAGCCTCCACAAGCACAGTGCCAAGCGTAACAGGAAGCCTCCAGACTGCCACAGGAAGTGCTAAACAACAGTTAAGAGTCCAAAAAGGCTAGCCTCCTTTGCATAATGCAGACTGACGACACAAAGGGGCAGTTTCTCCCTTCTTTTGTCACGTTCTAGCAAAGCAACCTGGGAGCTACCCAAGATACACATCCCTGGAGGCAAAGCGGCTTAAATATGTAGCTAGGAATCCAGAGCAGAAACCTTGCTGAAAGGCTATCCAGCCAAGAGAGCACTTGGAAAGCTGCTACCGGCTGCCTCAGCCAGCACAGAAACAGACAGCCCTTCTGCTCAGGTCCAGGGTGACCTGGTGCCCCTATGGCTGACACATCAGTCCTTTTCCCCTCCCTTAAGATACACTTATTGTCCAAAATACTACTTAAAAAAATAACATATAGTCTTTCAAGTACATTCCTTGTCTTGTAAGACAATTCAGATTTGAGTATATATTACTCTTCAATGAAAGTAAAAACAAAATTATGCTTACTGTATCAGATTTTTAAGGAAAAAACTAAGAAATTCCTGGAATCTAAATAAGAAAATATATTAATTTTTTGCCTTAAGTATTAACATGACTTTGGTCTAAATGATCAGTTGTTGTTTCCAGTATCAACTATATATAGCTTAATAAAAATAAAGGAATGACAAGCAATCCATTTCATCCTAACATTTAAGCTTTAAAAGTTAATAAGAATATACACACTAAGAGTAACTGGGTTCAGCCAAAACACTAGAAAAACCTAGAAGACAATCTTGACCACTCTCCCTCCAATTCCAACAGATCAATGTGTTGCTTCCACTTTCTCACCATTTCCACTGCCTTTGCCTTGGTTTAGAGCAAAGTGGTAGCCATGAGGCTGTATCCAGCCTGAAAGAAAGTGTCTTTTTTTTATTTTTTAATATATTTTTTTTAATTTAAAGACAGGGTTTCACCATGTTGGTCAGGCAGGTCTTGAACTCCCAACCTCAGGTGATCCGCCTGCCTTGGCCTCCAAAGTGCTTGGATTACAGGCGTGAGCTACTACGCCCAGCCAAAAGTGTCTTGTTTGGCTACACATCATTCTTTGATCTGAGTTGAAGGACACGGGCAATCTGAGAGGCCAGAGCTGCTATCGGGGCAGACAGGCCCCCCTCTATCCGGGTAACTGCAGGCACCTTGGTAGAGAGCCCATGCCTAACCTCAAAGAGTGGGGAAAGAAGCAAGGAGGAAGTCAGTGGGTGGTGTTCTCCCTTTCTTGGGCCCTCCCACTCAAGGATAGAAATCTTGAACTCCAACCCCATCCCAGCCACACTCCTTCATCCCCTTGCAGAGCACCCCTACCCAAATGCCCAGTGTACTACCCAATGTGACAACTGTGCAGTCAATTCCTGTTCAACTGAACATGAGCAGTACATACCTAGTCTTGCGATTTTCAACTTTTGCTGCACCGGGTTTCTTCTTTGAATGCCCACACTTCTTATGTCCTTTATCAGCTGAAAGAAGAATAGTTTACTTATACCCTGAAAATTGGTATCATCCAGAGACTAACAGAAAGGTAAACCCAAAAGGAGCCCTTACAGCCAAGTCCAGTGCAACATCTCTAAACAAAACTGTCTGAAGCGGTGTACTGCCACCCTCATCATTCTCAACCATCTCACCCACATGAATTCACAGTGCTGCCAGCAGCATGGGCTGGGCAGGATTCTGTCACAGGAACCAAGCACTATGAGGGTCCAGGAATATGCCCTTAGAAGCTAGACAGTGTGGGCAACCGAAGCATGTGCAGTCAAAGAGGTGGTACAGCACAGCTCATGCATTTGCTCTGATGAGTGGCTCATATCCTAGGCAGCACCTTCACCCAGTGTGTAGCAAAGGCCAATTTTTCTGCCTTGGCCTAGGACCCATCCTGCCAGCTGCTCTGGCTAGAGACTTGTGTTATCAATAATCAGTCATTCATACACTTAAAAAACTTATTGAACCCCTATCATGTCCTAAGCACCAGTCCAAATCCTCAGAGAGACTAAAAAATGAGAAAGAGTCCTCTCATGAAGAGGCTCACAGTCTACCAGGGCAGGGCCAAGGTGGGACAGACTCAGAAACATATTCTAACAGTGTGACCAGTGCTTTGGTAGAGATGCGCTCCAGAACTTTGGTAACTCGAGAGAGAGAGGAGCCACTCTGACTTATGGCTTCATAGAGGAAGTGATAATTGGGCTGAGTCGTAAGAAAAGTAAGATATCCTCAGGACATAAGGTTTAGGGAGACAGCACTCCAGGCTGGTGAACAGCAAATACTAAGATACAGGAGCCTGAGAAAGATGTGGCCATTCCTCCCCCGTTCCCAGAACCATCGTTTCACCAGGATGAATGCCTCCTGGGGCCACAAGGAAGTTGCTGAAATGGCACAGGGCTGACGAGGAGGACAGGCAGACTAGATAAGACAGGCACATTTGGCAGGCAAGGCACATTCAGTGGGACAGGCATACTTGGAATGACTGGCTTACCAGGTGTCATAGGTACATTTTTGGTTTTTGCCTTCCTCTTCCTCAGTGGCTCCACAATACTTTCAGTTTTTGCCTTCTGTTGCTTTAGTGGCTCCAAGATAGTTTCGCTTTTTGCTTTCCTTTTCCCTGACTGTTCCACCCCAGGTGCAGGCTCCACCTCAGTTGGCAGCTTTCTCTTTGAAACCTCCAGGTTAGCCTCAGGATCACTCAGTGGACCGCAGAGATTCTCACCAAGATCCTGCTCACCAGCCTCATCCAGCTCTTCTTCATCTGAGGCAATTTGGCTTTCATCACACAAATCTTCTTCTGCTGGCACAGGAACTTCCAAATCATCACTATTGTTGTCAGGAACTTCCCAATCATTGCTGTCATTGGGAACATCCGAATCATTACTGTCTTCATCGGGAACATCCGAATCGTGACCATCGTCATCGTCAGGAACATCCGAATCATGATCGTCATCGGGAACATCCGAATCATGATTGTCGTCGTCATCGGGAACATCCGAATCATGACTGTCGTCGTCATCGGGAACATCCGAATCAGGACTGTCGTCGTCATCGGGAACATCCGAATCAGGACTGTCGTCGTCATCGTCAGGAACATCCGAATCATGATCGTCATCGGGAACATCCGAATCATGATTGTCGTCGTCATCGGGAACATCCGAATCATGATTGTCGTTGTCATCGGGAACATCCGAATCATGACTGTCACTTTTGGGAACATCTGAATCATCACTCTTGTCTTTGGGAACTTCTGAATCATCACTCTTGTCTTTGGGAACTTCTGAATCATCACTCTTGTCTTTGGGAACTTCTGAATCATCACTCTTGTCTTTGGGAACTTCTGAATCATTACTCTTATTGCTGTGAACTTCAAAATCATTACTCTTCTTGTCGTCATCGTCATCATCGTCATCACTAATAACTATTAGGGGTCCCTGGATGGTAGGCTTCACATTATAACGTTCCATATCCTTACCTGAAATTCAAGAGACACAATCATATGTAAATATACTCTCTCCTTCTTTACACATTAAATTTCAGCAGATTACTTCGCACAAATTAAGACAGGAACTGTAACATTTTGAACAACAGTTAAGAATCAGTTATTTTAAGGCTGGGCACAGTGGCTCACGACTGTAATCCCAGCACTTTAGGAGGCCAAGGCAGGAGATCACTTGAGGTCAGGAGTTCTAGACCAGCCTGGCCAACATGGCAAACCCCATCTCTATTAAAAATACAAAAAATTAGCCAGGCGTGGTGGCACACGCCTGCAATCCCAGCTACTGGGGAACCTGAGGCAGGATAATTTCTTGAGCCCAGGAAGCGGAGGTTGCGGTGAGCCGAGATGTCACTGCACTCCAGCCTGGGCGACAGAGTGAGACTCCATCTCAAAAAAAAAAAAAAAATCAGTTATTTTAAAGGGGACACCAACAAATGGAAAGATTCCATGTTCATGGATTGGAAGAATCAATACTGTAAAAATGTCCATACTACCTAAAAAAATCTACAGATTCAATGAAATCCCTATCAAAATACCATTGACATTCTTCACATAACTAGAAAAAAACCATTCTAAAATTTATATGGAACCATGAAAGACCCAGAATAGCCAAAGTTATCCTGAGCAAAAAGAACAAAACTGGAGGAATCATATAACCTGACTTCAGATTACATTACAGAGCTATAATAACCAAAACAGCATGGTATTGGCATAAAAACAAACACACAGACCAATGGAATAGAATAGAGAACGCAGAAACAAATCCACACACCTACAATGAACTCATTTTAAACAAAGGTGCCAAGAACGTACACTGGGGCAAAGGCAGTCTCTTCAATAAATGGTGCTGGGAAAACTGGATATCCACATCCAAAAAGAATGAAACTAGGTTCCTATCTCTTGCTACGCAAAAATCAAATCAAAATGGATTAGACTTAAATCTAAGACCTCAAACTATGAAACTACTACAAGAAAACTACAAATACCCCACAAGCAATGGTAACCAAAGCAAAAATGGACAAGTGGGATCACATTAAGTTAAAAAGCTTCTGCACAACAAAGGAAACAATCAACAAAGTGAAGAGACAACCCATAGAATGGGACAAAATAACTGCAAACTAGCCATCTGATAAGGGATTAATAACTAGAGTATATATGGAGGTCAAACAACTCTATAGGAAAAAAATACAATAATCCAATGAAAAATGAGACAAAAGATCTAAACAGATATTTCTCAAAAGAAGTACAAATGGTACACATGCATATGAAAAGGTGCTCAACATCATTGATCATCAGAGAAATGCAAATCAAAACTACAATTAGTGACCAGGCACGGAGGCTCACACCTGTAATCCCAGCAGTTTGGGAGGCCAAGGCAGGTGGATCACCTGAGGTCAGGAGTTCAAGACCAGCCTGACCAACATGGCAAAAATCCATCTCTACAAAAAATACAAAAATTAGCCAGGTATGGTGGTGCACAACTGTAGTCCAAACTACTTGGGAGGCTGAGGCAAGTATAATCACTTGAACCTGGAAGGTGGAGGTTGCAGTAAGCCGAGATCATGTCCCTGCACTCTAGCCTAGGTGACAGAATGAGACTGTCTCAAACAAAACAAAAAACCAAAAAAGCCAAAAAGGTATCATCTCGCCCCAGTTAAAATGGTTTTTATACAAAAGACAGGCAATAACAAATGTTGGTGAGGATGAGGAGAAAAGGGAACCCTCTTACACTCCTGGTGGGAATGTAGATTAGTACAACCACCCTGGAGAATAGTTTGGTGATTCCTCAAAAAACTAAAAACAGAGCTACCATACAATTCAGCAAACCCATTGCTGCATACATACTCAAAAGAAAGAAAATCAGTATAACAAAGTGATAGCTGCACTCCCGTGTTTGTTGTAGCACTGTTCACAACAGCCAAGATTTGAATCAACCTAAGTATCCATCAATAGAAAAATGCAGGCCAGGTGCAGTGGCTCGTGCCTGTAATCCCAGCATTTTGGGAGGCACATGGATCACTTGAGGCCAGGAGTTTGAGGCCAGCCTGGTCAAAATGGTGAAACCTCGTCTCTACTAAAAATATAAAAATTAGCCGGGCATAGTAGCACATGCCTATAGTCCCAGCTACTCAGGAGGCTGAGGCAGGAGGATTGCTTGAACCCAGGAGGCAGAGGCTGCAGTGAACCAAGATTGTGCCACTACTCTCTAGCCTGGGCAGCAAAGCGAGACTCCGTCGCTTAAAAAAAAAAGCAAAAACAAAAACAGATGAATGGATAAAGAAAATGTGGCACATATACACAATGGAGCAATGGAGTACTACTCAACCATAAAAAAGAATGATATCCTGTCATTTGCAACAACGTGGATAGAACCGGAGGTCATTAAGTTAAGTGAAATAAGCCAGGAACAGAAAGACAAACTTCGCATGTTCTTATTTATTTGTGGGGTCTAAAAATGAAAACAATTGAACTAAAGGAGATACAGAATAGAAGAATGGTTACCAGAGGTAGATAGTGGAGGGGTGTGGAAAAGTGGGGATGGTTAATAGGTACAAAATAAATAGAAAGAATAAGATCTACTATTTAACAGCATAACAGGATGACTATAAGTCAATAACTCAATTGTACATTTTAAAATAATTAAGAGAGTATAACTGGATTGCTTGTAACACAAAGGATAAATCCTTGAGGAGACAGATACTGCATTCTCCATGATATGACTATTACATATTGCATGCTTGTATCAAAACACCTCATGTATCCCATATAAATATATACATCTACTATCTACTTACAAAAATAAAAAATTATTTTTTAAAAAAGAAAGTTATTTTAGATTGTTTTTCCCTCTATTTTTTATTTTACTGAGAGCAGTGACAGATCAAATAGCAATCAAATTCATGCGTCAATTTTCAAATCACAGTCTCTAAGTAGCAAGATTCAGTGTTGCTCAGGGCTTCCCAAACACAGGTCTGTAGACTTGTATATTTTCACTGGTCCACAGCAAAATAAGATAAAATAGAATAATAAAGTGTTATTTTGCCCCCATCAAGCAAAATTTCTAAAATTTAAAGGACTGTCTTTTATTTTGTGATTATATCTTGGTTAAATTTTTGGTGCTCTTTACAAAATTACAAAAATAGCAAATGGTAGCTGAAGTTTTTTTTTTTTTAATTTCCTTCATTAGACAAATTAAAAATTGACAACTCTGTTGGTCACCAAAATTTCATTCTTTAAATTAGTTCGTAAGTGCAAAGCTCTCAGAGCCACTGATCTAAGAGCCAGGAGAAAGTCCCAATGCCAGCACTCTCTGAGAGGCCTCGGGAACATCTGGGACATCACTGCCTGCACTGAAAGGAAGCCAAGTGTGTCTGATGCCACATGCTCTTTGGAGTCTGTTTGGAGCTCAAGTTCTAGGTTTGTATGATTCTGGATGCAAAAAAAATCTAAAAATCTAAACCATAGCATAGGCAAGATGTGAAAGATATATTTATGGTACAAAAACTCTTTATCCTAAAACTGCAGATTTGAGGTAATATATTTTGAGTCTCATCTGTTATTTGAATTAATTATGAAAAAACTTCAAATACACAGTAAGGGAAGAGAAAAGGAGTGGATGTTCCTATGGTAAAAAGCCCCGCCTCCTTCCTAGAGGACTTAAAAGATTTGCCACCTACAGCTGAAATTAAAAATTAGAAAAAGTAGGGACACACTGCTTACAATATATTTTAAAATGACTACATATAGCAACAAAGGTTGGAGTTATGCTTTAGAGTTCACTGGGCCTTGTTTTCTGTAGAACTGTCTAAATAAAATGAAATGCCACATAGAGAACAGTAAAGAAACATACAAAGCCTTTCCTATAGGAGCATCCTTCATCCCTCCATTGCTGGGATGGATGCCCAGCAAGGTAAGAGCAGCCTTAGTTGAAAGTTCACTCTCAAAAGAATCTCTCTCTTCTGATTCAAGGAGTCAAGCACCTGGCAGCCTCCAGTTGTGAACTGGTTTCTGGCTCTGTCACCCCTCCCTGCCCTCAAGCTGCCTCCTTGGAGTTCCTTTCACATTTCAACAGCTTGTCATGTCAGACCCTCTACTCTGTACTCAAACCTCTATCCTGCTTAAGCATAGCCATCCAGAGCTAGAGAGAGGAAGCAGGGAAAGAAATTCAAAAGGATGGGTGATGGAACAATAGGAAACTAGCATTTCAAACCACCTCTCCCTTCCCTGCTCTGATATCCCGGGTTAACTAAGAAGTTCTGGCTAACAATAGCTCTTGGGTAATTATCTAAGAAGTAGCTGGTGCTGGTCAGGCCCAGTGGTTCACACCTGTATCCTAGCACTTTAGGAGGCCAAATCACTTCAGGCCAGGAGTTCAAGACCACCCTGGCCAACATGATGAAACCCCATCTCTAC